AAAAAAATAAAAACACATTTCTTTTTTGTCAGGTATTTAGAATAGCTAAATTTTGGGCCAATATTTTTTGAACATTACTGGAACTACAGATTAATACATATCTCTTGATGAATACAAAAAAATGTAGTAATTTTATTAATAAGCCAATATTGATTTCTTTTTTGTTTTTTTTTTCGATAAAACAAATTTTAGGACACCCTGTATATTTGTAACTAAACGATCGTCAAATAACTTCTACTCGATCTTCTTTAAACATGATAGATTATCGTGCTGATGTTGATAATTAATTTTCCAAATGTTTTCTTATTTGCGATACATCAAAAGGTTAACTTGAAGGTTTCTTACATCTAGCGTTCGGTATCTTCACATTAACTTCTCTATTTCCTCCCTGTCCCTTACTACGTCGTATTGAGATTCCTCGTTTAGATTCCAAAGCGAGAATGCCAAAAGCTTATCTAATATAGCTCGAAAATGTCATCAAACGGTACACGAACATCTCTGGTGTACCTCCAATAATCGCTACGTTTCGATTCGTCTGATATGAAATTGTGATATGAAATGTGAAAAAGAAAATAATAAAAAGGAGCAAAGATCTTCATATATCTTTATGTTCTTCATATAAATTCGAATCGGATAAGAAAAAAATGCATATTAGTAGCCTGATCGGTCTAACGTGAGACAATGACGTGAAAATATAAATTCAATAGAAGTATTCGAATAAATTTATTGATTACTATTTCAATTAATTATATTCAATGATATATTTTTTAAATTGTGAAATCAATTAAATCATTGAAATTAGAAATTTGTCTTTAAACGTTATCAAAATATTTCTTATGAAATGAATTTACTTTCAAATCAAAATTCGTGTTGCGTAATGAAATAAATTTTCTATTCAGTAGAATTTTTTGCATATACAGAATATATCCAATTTTTAAGAATGATAGATAATAATACAAGCGCTAATTTCAAATAACGAAACACGACCTGGAAATGCATTAGTTCCATCTCTTATTTGTTTTTTTGTACAATATCGAAACTAATATAATGAAAAATATAATGCAATCGTTCTTTAACTAATGTCTTCCTAGATGTTTTTTTTATAGAAAAAGGAACAATAATTATAAAAGTTGTTAGTAAAAGATTTCATAATGTTATAAGCTCATATTTTACTAGTAACCTAATAAAACTAGTAAAGTTGCTGCAAAGTATAAATTTGAATCCCGCAGGAAACATACTTAATTTACGGTGTACGATCAAAGTGTTAAATTAGTAAAAAGAAAATAGAAAAACAGAGTTTTGATCTTGATGTAAATTTAAACTTTTAATCCCTGTCGAGTATTCAATCGAGTTACTAAAGAAAATATTCGTTGCTTCTTTTAGAAAAGCTATGGTCTCTCGACTAGAAATAACGTCCATCAAACAATGTGGCTGATTAAAGCTTCGTTTTTGCGCAAGGTCGAACATGGTGACTCGAGGGAAAGTGAAGTTTTAAGAAGAAAAATTTAGGACACGATGCGACATCCAAAAGAAAAAGTACTATCGATATAAACTGAGTCGATCGACGTTTGGCCTGTTACACTGATTGATGTATGGGATAACCTTGTGAGAAAGAAGAGTCTACCTTCGATTTGGAGAACATTTTACGTTCACCAATCACGTCCAAAGCATTACCTTATAAAACATCACGAAATTGTAACATTTAAATTTGGAAATGTATGTGATTTACTACCAATTATTTTAACGATTGTATAAGATGATATAAAAATTTGCATTAATATAATGTACGTATACGAAAATGAATGATAAAAAAAATAAAAATGGTTATAAAGTATATTAAAAGCATAAATATTTAGCATATAGTGTTGAAAAGTATTTATAAAAAATGTTTAAATATGAATTTTCTGCATATATTTAGAATGGTATAAAAAAGGATTTAAAAAAAGAAAAAGAAAATAAATAATAATAAATAATTTAATTTTTATTATTATTATAATAAAATATTTTAATTAAGTCTAAAAAGAAAGCCTGTAAAGTAACATAAGATATACCCTTTAAAGAATTTTCAAGAAATTCATTCCTATCACCCATAGTGAGAAAGAAATCGATGGCTAAAGATGTTATCGTTATTTCCCCCAAACGTGATCGCTTCTCTTCGAATTGTCTTCAAATTCACGCGATATATATATATATATATGTATATACCTATACCCCACATCGTAGATTTATTCTTTCGCATTCGGTGAAAGTTATTGAGATAAATCATCCCCACTCGTTCTCTTAAAAACAGTGGGCGAGAGAGAGAGAGAAAATAACGTAAAAAAGAAAATCAACATATTCCTATCAAAAGAAGAAACGAAAAATGCTCCTGTTCCTCCCGTCAAAATTTGTGCCTCGTAAAAAGTGTATACGAAGAATGAAAATATGGAACAAATTGAAGTTTCATTACTTTATCTTTTTTTCTTTATCTATATATTTTTTACACTATCTTTTTTTCGAAAGATAAAAATTTACCCTATCGAGAGGAGCAATTCTGTCGGAGAGACAAAATTAAATTCCAATAATGTAACAGTCAATGTTTAACGATCTGCCAACGGTGAGAAGCGAAAATGTTATTCGAAAGAAGACAGAGAAAAATGAAAGTGATGTTATAAAAGGAAACGTATAACAATATTGTGGCGACACATCGTCGTCATTTTATCGTTTGTGCATGTCTCTCCTTCTCTCTTTCTATTTTCGTCTCCTGCCCCTCCACCCTTTCCCCTTTCGTTTACTTTCCCGTTGATTATTCGATCTTTCAGCATCGGCGAGAAAAAATAATCGCGTAATGTGCTTCTAATTCATCATACTCTGCAAACAATGAGAAAAATAACAGCAGAAAAAATAGAGAGAGAGAGAGAGAGAAAGAGAATCCTACATACACAGCGATCATGTTTTATAGCAGTGAACGTTAATCCTTATCATTGCTCTTAAGGGAAATTGTTTTCCGTAAAATAATAAAGCCCCAGTATACATCTCATACACCTTTTTCTCTTTACTCGCTTTCATCTTACATGCTTTCCATTTTTCTTTGCCTCTCTCACTCTTCCTTTTTCCATCTCTTTTATTTTCGTTACTTCATATGCTAAAGTAAAAAACGAAAATTGCCTGAGTCATGACGCTATAAGATCGATGGAATTTGCCAGCAACGAGTTTAAAAAACTGGAAAGTATATAATGGTTTTTTAGATAAAATGTTATTTTATAACAAGTTAACTTCGAGACATTGTATAACAATGAAAATATATTTTTGTTAAATTTAATAAACAGATTTTTTGTTTAATGTTATGATAAAGATCGGGAAAAAAAATGTCTCGAATTCAATTTCTGGTCCGAGAAATCAGAATATCCTTCCCGCTAATGCAATAGTATTATATTATGCCAAAAGCAGCCACTTGCGAAAAAACGCGAATAATACGGTAAATGCTGATTTAATTTTTGCATGCAGTAAATTATACGATCTAGTTCCAAGAAAATTTACTATAGCGTGAATTAGTCTATGAGATCGTGTCAATAAACATTAATTATTTCACAAGATATCGTCCTACTTATCGATAATTAACGCAAACATTCATTTCTTTTTCTAAAAGATAATTATTAAATATTGCTAAAAAAACGACGATTACTTTTTTCGCAATTCACGTAACAAAGTTATCGATTATCGAAAATTAATTACAAAATTATTACAAATATTGGAGCATTTTAACTATTTAGAAAACTTATATACTTATAGAAAAACTTTAAACTAATATTTTACTTTATGGGGTACAAATGAAATAAAATAGATAAATGAATCTGTGGTTTTAAATTTTCTACAATAAAATAGGATTATAAAAGCATATGATTTATTATTACTGTCCTACAGTTAATTTGATTTGAATCGATGATTTCTTGTCAAACGAAATCGAAAATGATACCGTAGGTAATTTAACTTGCATCATCTGGTGATGATGCTTGTAGCCCCCGGCATATTATTATGACACGTACCTATTGCCTTATATACCATAGCTGTGTCGTTAAATATTTACAAAATTACGCGGTGCGACCTCGTTTAATCCCACTTAACGATCGTTAATTTCGCATATTCGCTGACGTTTATGGTAAATTATTTATCAAATCGGTCTTTATATATATATATCGCACCATTCGCAGACGCATCTGAATTGGACCTTATTAACTTACAAATTTGCATTACTTTTCTTGTCGTTTTATTTCTTCGACTGATGAGCAGAAAAGAAAGTGATAAGAAATTTTTGTTTAACCGTGAAATATAATATCGATAAAAAAAAAAAGGATTAATTACAACCCAGACTTAATACAGATGTAACTTAAATGTGAATAAACTGAATCTAACAAATTTACAAATTTGAATCGTTTCACATGTGATCTTGTTTTTAAAAAAAAAGTAAAATTAATAGATTTTTGTTTAATCTTGATAATTATTATCTTTTTGCAAATAAAAAAGATGAAGCAAGTGTTATTAAAATAATCGTTGAGCAAATTTTTATATACGCTAACGAATATAATCTGATTCACCGTTTGCTCCAGGAAAATTACAGTGCGAGCAAAAAGAAGATTAAACACGACCCAAACATAACTCAAACGTAAATAAATTGTATCGGATGAGTTACAAAATTTAAATCGTACGTGTTACGGTAAAAGAAAAATAGTAACAATAAACATTTGTTCGATCGTGAAAAGAGTAAGTTTTTCATAAAAAATAAATAAAAAATAACAATAAAACTTATAAAAATAACCGTCAAGAAAATTGAACTTTTTAATGTATGACAAATAAAATCTAATTCGCTCTGAGATTGTTATATAAATGTTATAAACGATATTGTAAAAAATATTTTAAATAGATTACACGACCACACCTATAGCGCGTTAAATTAGCCTAAAAGTAATGTATATAATCAAATTACATATCGATAAATTAATAAAAACATTGTCCAACTTGATATAATTAATGAATATAATTGAATTAACCAATATGCAAACCTTAAATTTTCTCGAAACAACAGAAAATGGACTTACGCCAATTTCAAAATGAACAGTCCAATTACTGCTTAACAAAATAGATGATAATTTTTAATAAAAAATTTTAAAAATCTATTAAACGTATAATAAAAGAATAATAGAATTAATATGCTCAAAATGTTTAGTCCCGCACACAACTTTGTATATTTTTTTCAATTCTTCTAATTAAATTATTTTCAAATATAACATATCATATATGTATAGAAAACAGTCGTGTCTCTGTTTCGGACGTTTCTGAATACATGTTAACACGAATGAATCATAACTTCTAATGATGTAAATCAAACGACGGTTCATACAGCCAGACTGTATGAAAAGAGGATAACTTCTTCGACCGTAAATAAATTGGATTGAACTAGAGGAACTTTCCAGATCAAAGACGAACTTGATTAGAGAATAAATATAGGGCTTTTGACAGGAACAATCATTTCACAACGTAATCATAGACATTAGGAGAAATAGTTTTGTTTGCGGTTTCTCTATCAAGAAAAAGTATTGACAAATACCTCAGACGAGAAATTTCGTTTATTTCAACGAAAACAACAAATTTTATTAACTGCGAAGCATTGACATTTATTTCTGGCATGATGGAATACAACCAAGCCCCATTGTTAATTCTAATTCCAAATGGAAATAATAATTATGAAATTGTTCTATACTTCATATTGTTCTATATGAAAGACAATGAGAAGATATGAATACACTTAAAAGTATAATTAATATCGTTGTCATTACGACCATAATTAAGTGAATTTTCAATTATTTACACACACACACATACAATATACAGTGTTTAAAGCTTATCTTCGAAATTGGAATTATATTTTGCGACACTTTAATATATAAAATCTATGAAGATAATGGTATCGTTCGAATTCTTAAATTCTTTAATTACAAAGTATCATTTAAGAAACACAAATATTATTCGAATTAGCACGACACTATAATCGCCATTAAATTTGAAAAACTCTTCAAAGAATCTGCATAATCTGCAGCAATAATAATAATAATAATAATAATAATAATAATAATAATAATAATAATTATAATAATAATGATGATAATGATGATAATGATAGTAACAATAATAATATATACATATATATTTTGTCTGACAGGAACAGTCACTATAGGAAACTAGGGAACTCGATCTAGCACCATTAAACTTGCACTCGAGTGCGACATATCGTTTTTGTTCTCGCATTCTTCTTTAAGGAAAGTTTCTCTTAAAATCATTCACGCTGTGAGCTTAGTAGTAGCCAATTTCATTGAACGCGAGAATGAGAGAAAAGAGAAAAGGATCTTTTTCCTGGATAAAAGCTGAGATGTTCAACCATTAAGTCATTATTTTCCAATGTTTCACCATTAAGATAATGACAACACGTACGATTGTCCCAGTCCCATAACTTCGTTTCTACGTCAGCAAAAGACTTCAGTATTCTTCCTCTTTCCGTTCTTTCCATTCAAAAACATAATGATTTATTACGAACGATCGTATTCGGGAAATTGAAAGTTATAGAGGTCGTCGTATCGGTCACTAATCTCCAACGATAACTTTCACGGGATTTTGGATTCGATCCAAGAACTTTCGTTTGTTAGAAAATCAATAATTTTATCATCGAAGAGACACAAATACTTGATTTTTCATGGTTTCCTTCGGATTACTTTAAACATCGTCGAATAAAATAATTCAAACTTGCGTGAGCAAAGTTACCTGTGCTCCGTTCTTTAATCCTTCCTTCTCTTTATTAGCAAGATCTCGACTATGTTCACTAGTCACCGCGATGTTAGATCGTGACGTCATGGTCACCGTAGTAGTTGAAGTTTTACTGACTAACAAACCTCTTTCACAATCCTCATCATCTAACTCAAATTTTGTTTGTCCAGGAGTAACAACAAGACGATTTGATTGGATCTTCTCAGTGTTTGCTTTATTCCTTCGCGGAAATACACTGTTCTCAATGTGTAATGTTGCGTTTACATCTTTACCTGCCGCACAAGTGCAAGCCTTCAAGAAGCTTTTTTTAAAGTTGTCACTAAGAAAAGCGTAGAGTATCGGATTCATAGCACTGTTGCTATAGCTAAGAAATCCAGCCAATAGAAAGCTAGCAATGCTGATGCTTGATTGACATTGTTTCGGAGGTGTATAAATCAAAGCTACTTGCATCAGCCAATAGGGTAGCCAACAGAAAACGTAAACGGTGATAACAGTTAATACCAATCTGGTTACTTTACGATGAGAACGTTTCTTTTCCTTAGATTTATTTTTCGGGCCTACAGTTTGAAGCTTCCTGATTACCAAAAAATAAAAAATCAATATGAGGATCAATGGAATGGCAAAGCCAAGAATAAAAGTATACAGAGTAAAAGCTGTTTGACCACCATGATCATCCGGCCAATAGATGTTGCAGCTGTAGACACTCTTAGGTCCCTCCATCACGCTTGCATAAAGAAATACTGGTATCATAAATATTACACTTGTAGTCCAAGCAGTGCAAGATACTACTCTGGATATACAAGGTGTACGCATTTTCGGAGAAGATATAGGATGACAAACAGCTATATAACGATCAGCGCTCATAATGAAAAGGAAGATACTACTAGTAAATTGATTTATACTCGTAGTTGTCATATAAATTTTACACATTACTTTGCCAAAGATCCAACTTCTCGTACTCATAGTTGTTACAAGAAAAGGTATACCTATCAAGAAACACTCATCTGCTATCGCGAGGTTTACAATATACATGTTCGTCACAGTTTGCATCTTTGAAAAACGTAATACAACGTATATAACTAAAGTATTTCCTAGTAAACCAATGATGCAAACAAACGTGTAAAGAATTTGAGTTAGTAGAGAAACGATCGGCAGATCAGCCTCACAATTTGTATCATTATCATTGTAGATTTCTGTGTAATTGATAATGATGCTAGACGTATTCAACGTGTCATTCATCATGAAAAATATTGCAAGACCTTTTTTTAAGGTCTACAAATTGTAAGAATATTTTGGAAAAATACAAAAAAAACGTGTAGTCGTGTCGGTTGCTTGTCGATGACAAAAAACAACGACTTAAATGTCTATTCTTCGTTTCTTAGAAATATACAAGTGTTTAACTCGATGTGTTATCTGTCGAGGAAAGTCTACGGTGAACTTGACATCTTCTCCTTCTTCGTCTGTATCTGCTCCTTATGATGATGTCTCATTGTACGGTACATCGAAGCCCACTTATCGTAGTCATCTTGTCCTTCAGCAACAATTCTCTTCTTCTTTCACCGAGAATATCAGTGTACTTCTTCGAGGAGAATATCTGAAACAAAGGGAAAACTTTCGTTTTACGCAATAGAAATAACCGATATCGAACTCCTACTGGATATTACTTTCTAAGGGATACTGTTCTTCTACTATCTCTGAGTCTATATAGATATTCTTTAAGTGTATACTAAAGAAATATATACACCGTATACAGATTTCTATGTATAAGTATCTACTTATATGTATGTGTGTTGATAGGTCTAGTTTAACTACAGATTTCTTTCAAGCATACAACGTCCGTTCCAACATTCGGCTGCAACTAGTATTACAATTTTCTTAACTCATTGTGTATTCAAATTTGCCCCAGATGTTAGCCTAGTTTCAATTCTAAAGACGATACAATGTTTCTAGTTTATTGAAAACTATGTTATATATATATATTTATTCATTCAAACTAACCAACATTTACAACTAATGACACAGGCGGTTAATATTAAATAACTATAAACGTAGATTCTCATTAAATAAATTATTTTTTAATCAAAATTCAAATTAATTAATGTATCATTGAATAACAATTGATATAGTAGAGAATGAAAGATTTAAAGAACACAAATACTATATTCAACATTCATCAAATAAATATCCATCCAATTGAAACTCTTTTCTCGAAATATTTTACATAGGTGTGAGAAGCTTTAAAAGCATGAAAATTGCTGCAGAAAAATGCCAATTTTCTTTCGGAAATGGAAGTAGACGAACGAAAGGAAGAACGCAGTAAACGGTTGCAATGTAGTGCTACGATTTTTCAACAGATATATTTGCAGCAGCTCGAACGTAAAACTTTATAGTCTCTGTGGTATGAGTATTCGCGTGTGTACGTGTATCTGTGTATTGCACGATAGCATTTCGTGTTTATGATACCCCGGAGAACTGAACGAAAAGTGCATTGTGCTGAACAAGGGATGATGCGTGTTACCCCTTTGAAAATGCAACATTTTAAAAATGCAATATTTTACACAATATTTTTGACTATAATTATTTCCATGATTAAATATTTCTATGTGTATTTGACATAAGTATTATTTGTTCTACATACGATATTATTTATAAATGTATCTACGAGACACGTGAAAATAAAATGATATTCTTAGTTTGTTCGATAATCCATAAAATAAAAAAGTTGATTTTAATAAGGAAATAAAAGTTTTCATTCCCGACGCTGATAACGACAGATAATATTGTTAATGAGATTCGCAATAAAATTTTTCTTACTTCAGTCCATCGAAAAGAAAAAACTCTTTGTGAGAAAAATACGTTAGAAAAAAATTACAGAGTTCTTACTCTTATATTTTCTTATCTCCATTTTTAAAGCAAAGTAGAAGAGGAAAAAATGAAGAGATCAGGAACATGGTAAGCTTTCTTGCATTTCACGTGTAATATGATGTAAAGGAGGATTTTTCGATTATTCTTTTTTTTTTTGATTATTCCTTCTTAAGAGGTATTCTAATCAACTGAGAGAGATAGAAAGAGAAAAAACGAGAGAAAGAAAGCCGAAAAGAGAGAAAAGTAAAAGATACAGTACAATAAAAAAGTGTACGAGTTTGAAACAATATAAAAGAGATTATTTTCAACTAAAAATTTCTCATAACTGTATAACGTAAAAAACGAAATGAAAGATACTAGTAAAAAAACGTTACAACAAAATATTACACAAAACAAGTTGAAACAATTAATCACTAATTTGATGTAAATTTATTTTAAATCAAATTTTATTCCTGGATTCGTCCTTTAAACTGAAATCTTGTGTAATTTGTCTTTTTGTAAGACGCAGAAGGTCATTAATTATACTTTTCGATTATTTTTACTTTTCCAGACTTCAAAATACCAGAAAAAAATTTGAATACTTAAATACACGCAATAAATGCATCTGAATAAATACATAAGGAATCAAGCGACTATACGTTGAAAGAAAGTGCAAATTAGAATAACACGAAGTTAGTTTAGAAGATTAGATTTTATTCATAATATTTCAACTTCCTACGGTGTTTTTCGCGATCGATGAAAAAGTCACGCCATTTTTTACAAGCTCTATATTTACTTTACCATAAAATAAACTGAATATTCCATTAATTAGATTCGCCATTGAGTTTTTTTAAATATTGTAAATAACGTGGCAAAAATCGTCATGGACTCTTTTGGTTAAATTAATAAAAATATTCTACATTTTCGTGAAACACATTTCATGGAACAGAGAAAGAGACATTTTGTCTTAACTAAATTTATAGTAATACATATGTATTATAAAATAAATCATGAAACACTGCTTGAATAACATAATCGTTAGACGTGAACATTACACTTAAGGGAATATATTAGCATAACCGAAATTTAGGATCAATTAACTAGCTCCTGACCAGTAGGATACCTTTGACGCTTGCAAAAGATAAACACGGAGATAGGTTTCCTCCCTCTGTTACATCTGAATACCCTAATGATCTTCCTAAAATTTACTCAACCGTATTAATGAATCGTCCTGTCAAGGGATATCTAAAAGAACCCTTATATTCAAGCGTGTTTAATGTTTAATGATCCCATATGGATTTGGGCTTTCGTTTACGCATAAAATATCTTTGAATCATCCTATATGGCGAAATTTGGAACATTATTAAAGTAAATGAAACTAATCAAATAACGGAAGGTATAACAGGTTTATCTCTATTTTAATATATTAACACAGATTTCTATAAATAAAATTTGTTAAGTCCCTTACCAATATTATTTTGTTAACTAAATCGAATAATATATTAGAATAAATATTTTTAGTTAAACAACGATGAGTACAAATAATACTTGGATGAATTAACTCTTCGGAACACTGAATTAATGACTCAAAAGATAGGCATCAGAGTTGTGAAGAGTAATAACGACAAGTACTTGAATTTGAGGATTTTAAATACACCTACCATACTATGATTAAATTAAAACTGGATTAAAAAAGTATTCGTTTTAACAAACATCAAAGACATTATTATATATTTTCTGATTTTCGAAACTCTCTTGTTTCGTCGTTCTACTGTTTCTGAGTATTCTCAATTTGTGGAAACCTTTTGCAATCCCTTAAATCAATAAAGATCAAGCAATCTCGAGGACAAATGAACCCCCTCTAGATCATAAAATGAAGGAATGCATATATTTTGTCTCTTGGCTTTACGATTGTGCAGATATAGACAAGAATGAGTCGAGCTTGCAATCGTCGAAGATAAAATCATCAAAAAAAAAATAAGAACTAACAAAGAATATTTTCCTTATATTAGGGAGCATTTCCTAAGATAAGTATGGACGACCAGCGAAAGGCAACTCATCTCAAGAACCTTGGAGAACAATACACATATTTCGAACCTCATGCATAAAAAAGTTTGTTAATTAATTACGTTTTGCGAGCTCATCAAAGACAGTCGACTACTGCTAGATGATCTTGACTTCTATTTTAAAGTACTCGATTGCAATCAATTCAGGCAAACATTATTTACATCATCACTTGATGATAAAGTTAATTAACAATAAGTGTTCGAAGTCGAAATAAAATCGTCGGAAGTTATATCAAATAGATAAACCGACTATTTTTTGATAAACCCTTGTTTAAACCCTTTATTATTCTATTGATGGAAACGTGTTCCAAAGTGCACAACCATTTTGTGATGTTTAAATGTTCGTATTGTATAATAAGCCAATGTAGGAGAACAGCCGTATACGGTTTTTCAAAGCATCAAGGCATTCATTCACGGACGAACATAAAACAGTTTCGGTTTCTTGATGGCATTCAAACATACGTATATCGAGACAATCTTGTAGCCTCGAAATACCAACATATATATACATACAAACAATTTCCAGACTCAATCTCATTCTGACATGCGCATAATCTTGACTAGTCTCGAAACAGCATTTGGTCGCACGTATGCATAATCTCGATTTACATTAAGGACAGCATTCGGTCGTCTGCACATACAATCCTGACTTAATCTGGCAACAGCATTTAATCGCATGAAGACGTAATTTTGAGTCACGCTCACAAAAGCATTTATTCAGGCACGCACTATTTCAAAGTATCACCATATTCTTATGCTTATCGTAATCATTCGAATGTCGATCAAGCGGTAGAATTATTTATAAGAATTTCGAAATAGGGATCATGGCGTGTTGGCTAGATTAATTAATTTAAATGAGATCTAAAACTCGTTAGTTCTACTAACGAATCTACTAGAAATCCCTGAATGAAAACGCTCTTGTTGTATCATTGAACATTTCTACTAAATATTACAGATTAGCCACTTATACTAATTGTAAGTCTCGATATGTCAATAATAAAAGTGTTTGTTTTTATTATTCGTATATGCACAAACACTAGTTTACTGCATCTTACTATAAACATTTAATGGTCCTTGGAGAAATCCTTATTAATGAATATGTGAATTAAGTAGATACGCATATAACAACATTATTTTAATATTTAATGAACCTTATGCATGTATTAAATGAAAATTAAAAAAATATAAGTTTAATTAAGCATATTATATTCTTTACGAGTTAACACTGTAAATGGAATACTTAAATGTGTATAACAATGCATAGAAAAATTTCACATTATCTTCTTCTTTCACGAATTTCATATAAATTATTAAATAACACAAGCGCATATTCAACTATACGTACACGCATAAACGTAAAATAAAAACGATGCGAGGGTCAAAGTTCTCCGTAGAACTCCCACGATCGTTTCACTCGAACGACCTTTTCCAACTTTTATTATACCCTAGCAATCAGAAGGTCATATTTTTGGTAATATTTGAAATAAAATATCGAAGGTTATATAGTCGCGGATAGGATTGGAAAATATTGTACATACCCAAAATCTTGTTTTCGATTTTACCTAATAGTTTGATTATATTTTTCGCGCAACCTTACTTTGTGAATAATCATAAAGATTTTTATTAAAATATTGTTGAAAATTTTTTACCCCCAAAGTACTTTTATTTTTGTAAAAAAAAAAAA